AAATGTGCACGTCTATGATTCGCCGTTTTCTCACACATATCTCCATAAACTGCGCCTCATAATCTGTAATATTATAATGTTGCAACAATTTACTCATCACATCCGGCATATATATAAGCGTATCTATATAAGCTGAATGGTTAGAGAGCCCACTTTCCAACCGTGAGAGCCGGGTTCGAGGCTCACTATAATCAATTTGTCAAGGTGACTTCTTGATGTTAAAGGAACATGTCACTGAATAAATAAATTAGAGGTATTGTACTGTGACTTATGTTCAAACCTTAATTATATAGTGATTAACTAAATGTATCCTAGCTGAATGTTTAGAGCGCCCGCTTTCCAACCGTGAGAGCCGGGTTCGAGTCTCACCATAATCAATTTGTCATGGTGACTTCTTGATGTTATATCGACCTTTGAAAACGTACCACAGATTGATCCAAGTCTTGTGATTGAAAATGAGTAGTATTTGTGAGCCGTTGAAATTAACACGAAGTGACAAGTCATCGTGACCGCGGTTTTTTGGGTACTGGCCTTATTCAAACTGTTGATCCCGCCAGATGATGCACTAACTTCCTGAAACTGTAACTATGGTCTGCATAGCATAGTTTCAGAGTATAAACCACAGGATGTTGAACAAGCACAAAAGTACCTGAGCGAGAGTCTGCAATAGGGATTGGCTCGCTGCCCTATTGTTTAAGATTGGGCTTCCGGTTCCTTCTAAAGTCAGTTCCTTCTTTTTCACTTCCCGTAGACCTTTGAACAGGAGTAGAGGTTTATCTCTTGGTTCCTGTTTAAGATTGGGCTTCCGGTTCCTTCTAAAGTCAGTTCCTTTTTTTTCACTTCCCGTAGACCTTTGAACAGGAGTAGAGGTTTATCTCTTGGTTCCTGTTTAAGATTGGGCTTCCGGTTCAATCTAAAGTCAGTTCCTTCTTTTTCACTTCCCGTAGACCTTTGAACAGGAGTAGAGGTTTATCTCTTGGTTCCTGTTTAAGATTGAGCTTCCGGTTCCTTCTAAAGTCAGTTCCTTGTTTTTCACTTCCCGTAGACCCTTACGTCTTAGTGGCATTATAGCCTTACTTGTGAAGAATTGATTAAAAATAAAAATAATTATTACATGATAGCAGATGATATTATAATTAGTTTTATTAGTTGTAATATTAGTGTTGGTGGTTGTGATGCTGATGATGATCATTATCAGAATAAATATATGAACAGTCCAGGAGAGTGGCTCATTGCGTTTTCTCGGGTTAAAGTTTTCCGCTGAAGATTTTATCCAATCAATTGTTAGGTCTGCAGCTAAGGACATTGATTCACTGTGTCGAACGAGATAGTAATTCCCACCGGAATCAGTTTGACATATTTACATGTCTACCATTCGTCCAAGCTTTGAATATTGTTACCACGTATGACCTAGTCCTTCTATTATATGTTGAGAGATCCTTGATAAAATCCGAAGAAGAATCTGCGATGCTATTTGTGCTGACGTGGTTTCTTGTATTCAGGGGCTTTACTTACAGCGCCAAATTAGCTTCCCTTTACCTTTTTTCTAGAAATACATTCATGGTAATTTTCCTTAAGAACTTTTCCCTGTGTTACCTAGACTCTAAGAATATATACCCAACTCTAGATCGATGGCTAGATTTCATCATTTAACAGTTGGCTTGATATAACCGCAAGTTCCACGCAAGCAGTTTCTCTTCTCGCACTTCTAGCTTGTGGACCTCTCTTCCGGCTTCTTTCCAGTCAAGTTTGATCGTCAATCGCTATCGTTTACCTTCTTAAATTCTCTTCATTTATTGCTATCAATCCTTAATAAAAATGCTTCTTATATTCTTTCGTACTCAGAGCCCCCTGCGTGTTAGTGACTTTGTTGCCTTTTTTTGGATGTAAAGATTTACAAAAAAAATAATTCAAGGTTGTAATACCAACGCCATACCGGCAAGTGCATTTTTAAGCAGTCGTAGATTTGGCTTTTGGAAGTATCAGTTTTGAGCTTGTCTTCCCGGCTGGATCGTTAGTTGTCCATTTTGTAGACTTGGCACTCGTGCAAAATAAAGAGCGAAAAACCGGTGATTTGCGAGGTGGCGGGCCACCGCCTCTCTACCATTAAACACATTTCCTTACTTCGCATTTTTTCCGCAAACAGGGACATTCAGTGCAGGAAGAGGACACACTAATCTAGTTGACTAATTTAACATTTCATTAGTCGAAAGTTAGGATTCGAACCAACGACTTGTCACTTAGCACCTAACCTTAACGCAGACTACGATGAAGCCACTGAACAGAATATAACCAAGAAAATGACAATGAGTGTTTTTAGTGAGTGAGACGCGGGAGAAGTATGACTTAAGGTCACTTCAAGAGAGCGCTCGTGAGGAAACTAGACTTTTCCCAAAGATCTGAAGAACAAAATATGATAAACACTATTTTAGATTTTATTAAAGTCTTTTTTACAATAAAAGTAATATTAAACAACAAACAGTAAAGATTTCAATATATA